CGGCCCACAAAACTGAAAAAAGAGGCTCCTGACCATCATTAGTGTTAGAAATGTGACCCTTACCTACACCAGCCAGAATACTGAATGAATAATACACCATAAGAGCAAGCGGGAGATTCGAACCCATGGCTCCTACTGATTTCTACATTTATACATCACCTTAATGTGATTTCTTTGAAGAGAAGCGTTGGAAGTAGAAGTCCTCTAGAGTACAAGCCAGAGTGCATGCGGAGTGATGAGTGAAACCCAGGTTAGGCTTCAGTGTAAGCCTCAGGAACCCTAGGGGATTCAGTGGAATTACAGGTACCAATGCTGTTTACCATGTCGTGGTGTTGTGGTCCGAGGCGTTTGCTTGGGAGTACTCGGAGCACAGGTTCGTATCCTCCTCGACGGCTCCTACTGATTTTCTCATTGACACATCACGTTAATGAGATTTCAGTGTGCAACTGTATTTCTATTATGTATTTCACGTATATATATATACTGCATATTATATATTTCACGTACATGTGTACTGATATTTCATGTACACAAATCATATACTTTAAATCAGTTGGTTTATCATTACTACGAGTGCCAGTATAAGGTCTTGCCCATCTTCCTGGTCTCAGGCAGACAGGCTTCCTGGGACCAGATTCACGAAGCAGTTACGCAAGTACTTACGAACGTGTACATCTTTCCTCAATCTTTGACGGCTTTGTTTACATTTATTAAACAGTTTACAAGCATGAAAACTTCCCATTCAACTGTTGTTATTGTTATAAACAGCCTCCTGGTGCTTCGGAGCTCATTAACTGTTTAATAATTGTAAACAAAGCCGCCAAAGATTGAGAAAAGATGTACAGCTTCGTAAGTGCTTGCGTAACTGCTTCGTGAATCTGGCCCCAGGCCTCAGGTACTTTTACCGTATTCCACCAGTACCAGACCGGTCCACAGCCAGTCCCGTACCCGGTACTTGAGTGTGTGGCAGTGTGGCGCAGAGTACCCCGACAGGGAGTTCGAGATCAGAACCCGACGGCTTGTTTACACTACAGACAGGCAACAGCTGATAGAAGAGGAAGGAGGGGGGTTGGGGTGGGGGGGGGGGGTGAGGTATGAGGCAGGTGGAGGAGGGAAAGAGGGGGTAGGGAGGGGTGAGGTATGAGGCAAGGAGGACGCTAGACATAAACACTCCGTGCCTAACCCTCCTGGAAAAGGATTAAGCACCAAGTAAGACCTTGTATAGAGCCTCATAAGCCCCGCCAGGAGCTTAAAACTCATCCTCTATAGACCTCACACACACCAAGAAAAACAGAGGGATATACATATATGTATTTACGGACTTTTGGAGAATTGATTTTTCAATTACCATAGACAGTGAAAAGAAACATAAGAAATATTGAGAAAATTCGTGTTAGAATTATTAATCTTACTTTTTCAGTCATATTTAATAATATATATTTACGGAACGTAAATTTTGAGAATCTGGTCCAGAGAGCTGCAGCTCATGCCTGGCAAATACAACTAGGTGAGTACACGACCACACGACCCAAAGCCCAGGAGCAAGAGGAAGCGAGGAATGCAAGAGGCCGCTCCAAGTCTTGGATAGATTACAGGTATAATCGGACAAGTGGCTACTGGAGTTCAATCTAGATAAGTGCAAAGTCACGGGGATGGAGACAAGAGGAACATTACCACCCAGCCTCAGGCTATAGGCTCGTCCAAGCTGCGGTCGACCCAAACAACGTACTGTGTATAACAAAAAGTATATTCTCTCGAAAATATATCCATATTAATGTATTTTAAATTTTATGGACAGGAAGGCAGGTTAAGTGTATTGCGTCTGCTAGTAATTATGTGTATTTACAGCATGTCTGCGGGGCATCTATAGAGGTGTGGTTCCAACACAGGAAGATAGCAAAGAAAGGTGCAACAGTGAACCAATCAACGGGGAGACATCAACGACGAACCTATCAACGGGAGACATCAACGGCCAACCTATCAACGGGGGGAGACATCAACGACGAACCTATCAACAGGGAGACATCAACGGAAACAGCATCCGTAGCGAGCGCTAAGCTGGCGAACACTAGGACATGCCGCCATTGAAACCTTGCAACAAGAACACATATGTGATAACATACATCTGATACCAAATGTCATATCATTAATGCAAACACTCAAACGACAAGGCCGTCGGGTACTTATCAACTGGGTGCCAAGTCATGTGGGAATAATAGGAAATGACATTGCAGACGAAGCTGCAAAACTTGCAACTAAGAATAGAAATGTAGACATTTACATACCACAGAGTCTAACACAGATTAAGAAAGTAATTAGAAACAGAGCAATGCAAAAGATGTACAGTGACCACAACACAGCAGTTGCAACATCAGGATCTGCGGGTTGGTACAAGAATTCAACCAACTACGAACCACTTAGTTTGATGAAAGAGAGCAGTAGAGCAACAGAAGTACACTTACATCGCATCAGGCTTGGATACCCATGTGCATGGGAAATA